TATATTAGAAATTGTCATTATTAAACATATTTGTACGAAAACCTTACTGGATATCTGTCGGGCAGTGAAATGTCAAAATTGCTGGTCATTAGTAGAGACGCCAACCAATTCTGTCGACACGGAATGAATAACCCGTTTGAAACCATATTCCAGTTTGGGCCTGGTATTGCAATTAGTGTTACAAATATAAATGTGATATTCATTTGTAATTACCATTTCCAATTAGTGGGAATAGGAAAACTAACAAAATCGCTCCCATGGTTGGGGGGACTATACGTAGATACCTAATGAGATTAACGCATGAGTGCGTTTGATATTTAACATAATATTATTGTAGATTATTTAAGACTGATTTGTATATATGAAAAAATATTGAATTACCTATAAACACAATAAGCAATGTAATTAAATTGTCCTTTCATTTTCTCCAATTTAGACATCACTACATAACACGTGAACATTCCTATCATTAAGTGATTTAAATGTATGTAAAGACCATTCATTCATATTATTGATTATATTTTGTAGTAATAATACCTCCGATACAAAAGAATGTGTCGATTATATTAACATTTTTAAATAAGAAAAAATAGTAATTATTATGCAATTGTCTAATCATTGATTTCTGAGTTTGTATGGAGTCAATCATCATGTAATCGAGAATAGCAATGTGATTATACAGCACCCAAAATGATAGTATTGTCCGGATCCCATCAAATATAACGAACTTTTCATTACCACGATTTGGATCGAAAATAGTCTTAAAGTTTTTGATTACAGAAAATGATTCGTAAAAATCAATGAGTGCTGATTTGATGTCTGTTTTTGTGCCAAATAGTAGATTATATGATTCATATAAAGTTGACAACAACACCAACAATGATAATACAGCGAATATCCATCTGATCATATAATATAAAGTCAATTGTAATCATAACTTATAAATTGATATCTACTTTATAATATTGAATATAAACTATAAGGACTCACATTGAAGTCAATTGATAGCCATTGAATTTAATGGGTTTATCCTGATAGTCGCAGTCAGGACTTATGATAACCGGAAATTGTGTTATTGG